TAGGGAAAATTAGGCAGAAGCTGACTGGTTTTGTAGCTGAGAAAGGCACAGGGTTTCTTTCTGACAGTTCTGTGGTAAGACTGTTTAGTGCATTGCAGAGGCACCCCTTTAGTTCTCCATATGAGTCTAAATAGAGATTTATAAAAACTACAACTACAGATCTATTTTTTCCAAAACACATGGATTTCCATATGCTGGATTTAGGTAAGAAATATCTACAAGGTATGGAGTACCTTCAGTCATAAAACACACCCATGGGAAATCACCGAGTCTGGGAGGATGATGTTCATCCTGAAACATGCCATCCATTGCCCCTAGGCTGCTCTGGTTTGCTCCAGGGCTGCACCAGGGAGCACTGTGACTCCTTCTGAGTTGGAGGAGTCAGGACCCAGCTGGACCCAGTGGTCCCAGGGTGCAGGCTGGCCTGCCTTTTGGCAGATGGCATCACTCTTTGGTGATGCACAGAATATATGGACGTTTACTTTGATCTGTACGTTACAACGCCTGATGGTAGCAGACAATCACTGCGAGAGTCCATGCCCATATTCGCCCTTGTACGCACAGTGAAACCAAGGAGCTTTTAAAGGTGTAAATTCCCATCTGAGCTTGACACTTCGCCTTCCCTCCCCCAAATACACATGCATTAAGTTTGGCCCCTGCTTTGCAATGGACAGTGAAAATACACTGCCTCGTTTTTGCAAAGTTCAGAAACTGGGGTCAAAGTGATAGCGACAAACCTGTATCAGCTGGGCTGCGCTCTCTGGACTGCCATACCGATGGTCGTGCCCATTGATGGCCAACACCCGGTCATTCTCCTGAAGCTGTCCATCACGGGCAGCCACGCCACCTTCCAGCAAGTTGAAAATAAATACCCCTGGTTCATCGGCCTTGCGGACCAGCTTTATTCCCAGCTGCTCGTCCGGACTGCTTTTGTTTAGCACAACATGGAAACTGTCATCCCTATTGCAGTGAGCATCAAGGGAAAGTCCGCTGTTTCGGCATCGGTACCTCTGCTCTCGGAGCACTGTCAGTCGGAGCACATGGCAGGGTTGCTTCAGGATTGACAGGGCGTAGTTGTGAGGCACATTTTTGATGTCCATGCCATTTACCTGGAAGAGAGAAGTGTAAATCAGCAGCAGAAAGACCGTCTAATCTGAATTGGCACTGGAGAGGGCAGATGTATTTACACAGATGTCTTCATACGAAGTGACGTGTGCTATTTCAAACTGTGTCACGCAGGAGGCCAAGTTTGTGGTGCAGAACAGTCTTCCCCCCAAGGAAAGGATGTGCTGTACAGACACTTTCTGCCTTTTTTTTCCCCTTTCTCCCTGATAGACATACATGTTATTTTTCAGCTTTATTATATTTCTTTCCCAAGCTCCAATATCCTTTCATATATCTTGGTTTTATTCCACTAGCTTCTGATTTCAAATTGCCTTGCCATCCTTTCCTTTCACTCCCACCACTTTCCTGCTGTTTCTCTTCTTCATTATCTCCCACTGCTCTAGGTACAGTAAAAAAAAAAAAAAAATCCCCACTAATGAATCTAATTAAAATGAAGAAAAGAACCTCAAGTAGAAGTTTAAATGCCCTGGATATTTATTAGCAATTATGCTGATATACCACACCAGAGAATCAGGCTTTTTATGTTTCTCAGTGTTTTCCGGGTAAGAATTAGCTCACATGGTGGTAAAGCTGCATAACTGCCACTTCTTTAATTTGGCTGGGGAAAAGAAAGAGAAAAAAAAGAGCTTCCAGTCAATCCTGTCACATCCGTGTGTGTAAGAGTGACTAGGCATTACACGTTATCACTGCTAAATGAAAACCAGTTGCAAGGTTGTAATTCATTGCTGGCTGGAAAACCTGAATCAGACAAGTTATTTCCATGTAGTTTTACATTGCACAGGTTGAACCATTTAAATATTAAGAAACATCTCCAAACTGCAACAGAAATGTTCCCCAGCGTGGACAAAAGCATTCGACTGGCGTTTGTTTTTGCAGACTGCCTGTGTGGGCATGACGGGGCTCTCCCCACTGCGGTCTGACGAGGGGACTGCACCCCTAGGGACACAGCTCAACTAACTTTAGGTTGCCAGCTTGGGTACCACGAACAGCATGGGCTGCACCACCATGGGGCTGAAATTGCTGGGAACCCTTGGTAAATCCCCAGGGCAGTCAGCCACGGCCAGGGAGAGCTGAGCCAGGCCTGTCCGTGCTGCAATCACAGCTTCCCGCTGCAGTTTGGAGGTGCCCTGCAAGAACAGTTTTGGCTCAGTGGTGCCATTAACTCTGCCGTTCTGTGCTGGAACAAGGACAAAAAGCCTCCCCGAAATGCACAACTGGGTAACACTCATCCAGCTGCTGCCTGGAACCACAATCTGTAACCTGGCATGTTTAACCAGTGCCAGAGCGAAGCATGGCCACATCATGATCCTGAGAAATCCCTTTGGCCACGGCCTGTCAGAGATGAAGCAGAAGGCGTGTCACAACCCTGGTGTGCTTCAAGTGTCCTCAGCTAAAACTGGGGTCAGCAAAAACCAGGAAAGCATGGTGACTTACAGGTGGCGGTCTGAACTTCAAAGGACGGTATCCTTAATAATTACTCACGTCGAACAGGTAGTAGAAGAAGTCAGTAGGGCTGGGAGAACTACTCACTAACCCTACCAGCCAGGCATGCCAGAGCAGGCAATAAGATGGGCATCCAGAGTCCCACCTGGAAGACAACGCTGAGGTATGCATGCCAGACCTTGCAGTCCACCCCACTTCCAGCTCCTGTAGCCTTATCCCAGCTAATGCCACACTGGTTAGCCTGGGTACCAGCACCAGTCGTGGTGCGTGGCCCACAGTGAACAAAGCAGCCTGCTCAAATGTTTACCTGTAATTTGGAAAACCTATGCCGAGTTCTTTGCTATCTCTGGCCATGCTGTCACCAATGTTTGGGCTAGCTGATTTAAGCTGCTTTGGGTATACCTGGGTGAGCTGCAGCTGTACCTTTGGCTTGCAATGTGAATATATCTGTCCACACCAACTACACACCATCAAAGCATCAAAGCAAGAAAAGGAACTAGTATTTTCTGTCATTGCTCTTTTCTTCTAAGGATTGAAGCATTAATATAATTTAGCATCCTTGTAGAGCTCCAAGTCGCTGGGGCAGCTGAGAGCACAGTTCCCATTCAAAAGCTATTGCTGAAGCCACTGCTCACAAGATACATGATCTTTAACCATCTGGCCTAATTCTTGTTCATCTGTTATACATTTCTATAGAAATGGGAGCAGAAGTAGCAGCCAACAGCTAATTCCTGAATGCTGCTCAAGTTTGTTCTTAGAGATTTCACCTGTGGCTGCTGGTGGAGCAACACTCCCAAAATAGAGCAGGCAGCGTCTCGCGCTCTGCGGCGCTGAACGCATCATACAGACGAGCTAGGTGCTGAAATAACTGAACCCTGATCAGGCCCCTATCACCTGTCCTGGTGTGAGCAGGATGTAAGGCAATGGAAACCTCACTAGCCGAGATTTAAGCCCACAGTTCAGCAGAAACAAACTGGGCAAAAAGACCAGCTTCTGCTTCCAGAAAAAAACTTTTGCACCACTGGGTCAGAACTACCAACAGTATATTGTGTTACATTGCTTTTTGGATCTACCATGTTTGGGTAGAAATCAGAGAGGCCTGGTAGTGAATAGGGAAAATAAATAAATCTGTGAGCCTCAAAAACAGTTGAAATGAATGAAAACATCACAGCATGCAGAGGAACTGAACATCTTTCTGCATGCATTAATCTACTCACACAAACAACCAACACTGCAAATCTCGTCTCATCATCGACTTACATCATCTTATTCTTTGCTAGGATACTTTTATCTTGTACCTCCACAGTACTGTACCTTTAGTATCATGTCTCCAGGCAGCAATCTTCCATCTCTGGCAATTACCCCATCTCGATAAATATGCTGTATGATAATGTGAACCAAAGGAGTCTCACTGCCTCCCACAATCCTAATGGCCAGGTTTTCATGGGGATCGGTACGGTTGATCTTAATGCAGGTAATTTCCCCATCTGGGATCAGGTGATACAGTCTGGGAAAACCTGGAAATGCACATTGTAAGGTATTTATTTGACATCACAGCTTTGCTTTGTTAAAACATGTACTGCACAACTTAAGTAGCTGCCAGTTATCCAGACTAGGTATTATGCGTGGATGTGATTTATACTGAGTGGGGAGGAAAGGATACGTATGTTTGCTGAGTGGACTTGGAGGGGTCTTTTTTTAATTAATACATTCAAGCTTCCTTTTTTTCCACAAAACACAGCCCCAAACCTTTGATGTAATCCAGACAGATGAAATCTACTTAAGAAAAAAACCCCTGTTACACATGTTAATATTTTAAGGGAACAAAATACATTTTTTAGCCACCAGAGACCCCTCTGAACCAGGCCACAGTTCCTTGCTGGCCCTAGGCCAGATGGGCATGGACACCTCGACAAACCTCCATCCCCACCGTGGTGGGCTGCACACCCTGTCTCACTGGTAGCTTCCCAGGCTGGCCTGAGCAGTGACAGCCCTGTTTTCCTCCATTTTTGGTGCCATAGCTGAGGACCTGGTGCTTAGCTTGTGACATCCAAGGATGCACTCTTTTACCTTCAGCTAACAGAAAGGCAAGATTTCTCGGGCAACCCAAAGCAAACTAGTTTCCCTACCAGACTCTTCTCCTTGCATCACTGCTTGAACTCTAGGAAGTCAGAACGACTGGCTCTTACTGCGATGTGTCTGTATTAAAACCACAGTAAGCTCAAGGTGCCTGGAGGGAAAGATCTCTGCTGGCCTTGGCAATCTGGGTGTGGGGAAGACGGACTAATGGTGGGCAGGGGTCCTTTTTGTATTTGTAATACACTGGATAAGAGTATCCTCTTCCAAACCCTGCTTTTCAACTGGCATGTTTGCTTTCACAGCATGTCACAAATACTTTCTTTCCTTCTAGGTCAATTCAAAATTTTAATCCACGTTCAACAGTGAGCAAAGTTGAAGTAAAAGCACCAGTGAGTTTTCTAGCACAGGTGTATAAGCCTTCAATTATTTTGAATCCCCCACAGGTGAGAGAAAGCTTTTAAATTTCTTGCGTGGCTGTCCAATCCAGCGCTTATATGAAAAACCTGTAAGTTCAAAAATTAAGTGCTAATATTTTTTCAATAACCTATTTTAGAAATTAAAGTACAGTGACTGTTACTGAATAGCAGTGAAGTGTTAAATGAAAATGAACAGAGCAGTATCTGAGATAGAATAAATATTTTCTACTACAGAATTAGCAGGCAACAAACCAGCAAGGCACCAAAACCTTTTGGGAGAGAGCAAGGGGAAAGAAAGAACAGGAAAAAATATTAATAAACACCATGTTGCATCCCTTACCACTTCTTTGATCATATGCTCTTCGGGGCGGGAAGCTGTCTTCCTCCACGTCTGTAAAAAGCACCTACCGGTAGCACAGACTTCGACTTTGTGGTTTTACACAGAGTTGACAGGCAATAAAAGTCTATCTAGATAACTATACAGCCTTCATCAACCTAACATCCAAGTATTCATTTAGTTTATACTCTCGTAGTAGCAGTTTCTGTGCTAGTATGGGTTTGCTTCAGTTTTGTGCACAACTTTAATGTCTCATGAATAGAAGGTGCTTTATTTTAGCCACGCTCCTCTATTTTCTGAACACTGTTTGCCCAGCTTGTAACTTGTTCACTTCTCTCTAGCCTGAAGGGTGGATTCACTCCATATAAATCCAGGCCTCTAAGCCAAATGCATAATTTGGTGATCTACTTGCTCCGGCTTCCTTTATAGTGCACGGGCACCCAAAGGGAGTGATACTCGCTTCACTGCTAAATCACCTCTGGAGGTGCTAAACTCTCTCCATTGCTGTGTAAGAAGAAAGAGGCAATTAACTCTGGCATCTCAGTGGGGTGCTTAAAGTCAGACGATACAAGTATTCCTCAAAAATTACCAAAGGCCTGATCCCTGCATCAGAATAAGCATCTACATTTTACACTCTCATTGTGGCTGTAAGGGTATTTATACGTAAAAATGCAAATTATAATCTGGATCCCCAGATCACCTCTGCACGGAAATAGCACAAATAAATATCTCTGTGTATTTTGCAGACTACCAAAGCAGTCCTATATCAGAACTACTTCCATTTCCCATTGCATGATGATTCACCTCATGTCCTACCAAACTTTGCTTTTTTGACTCAAACAGTCATTCTCCCATAAGTCATTCCGCAAACTTTTCTAAAGGAATTACCCAGTTACATTTCTTGACCATGGAGAACTGTGGACTGAACAAGCTATTGACACTCTCATGTTATTTCAATCTGTAATTACCCCAGAGCAAAATCAGAGCAACGTGGCAGTGAACAAGTCCCTACACTTATGTAAGACTTACATATGTGTTTATATGAGGTATAAACTTATATAAGTTTCTTTGCATCTTGAACAATACCTTAACTGGTTTATTAAGTCTTGCAGTAGCACTTGGCTGACTTTCAAAATTACTTTATGCAGATTCTTTTAGAGGAATTCTTAATACCTAATTTCCTTCTGAAGTGTGCAGTCTACAACAAAACAAATTTTTCTTGCCAGTCTGCAAGTCACTAAGGTTTCTCTTTTCATAGTTAGTAGGACGTACTGCCTCACCTCCTGTCTTACATTTGGTTTGTGTTCTTTATTGAATATAATGAAGAAATTGCACCATTTTCTCCTCAGATGGGCCAAGCACCCAAAATAACTCCATGATCCCTTACTTTCTGCTCTCTTCATTGAAGACTTGCCTCTTGTTTTCATCCCAGACATATACAGGAACATTTGTCTTACCAACAACCTAGACTGTCATAAGTGAAAGGCCAATGCCTATTTTGATAATCTGACACCGAGTTTGACAGATTAAACATATAAAATACACAAATACATATATTTTTTGAATAAGAAAATTCACGATCACTTTTTCACCAAACCATCTGCATACATTGTGTGCAGTTTGATCAAAACCTACCACGCCTATTTCAAGATGATGCCGTGTCTGGGAAAACAATGTCTTCAACTTGAATTTTCTAATGTATATACCATACCCAGAAGAGGTGGACCCTGCTCCAGCACCTGGTTGCATACAGTGAATGCGCCCTCAGCAGCCCAATTTAAGAGACTCCAACTGGGTTGAGGACTTGTACCATTCACGTACACACAGCCTGTTGTGAGGCTGGAGCATCAGTTTGCACAGACCCCATTTTCCAGCCCTTACACTCTTAATTAGAATTCTCCGTTCTCTTTGACCAGGTTTTCCAGAGCAGGAAAACCCAGGAGTATTGCATACCTTTCTTTACCATTTTATATTTCCAGTCCTTAAATATCGAAGAGCTGCTGAATCTAGAAAGAAGTAAACTTTCTGTCTTGTTTTTGGTGATTCTTGCAGGTTTTCCCACAGAGTGTTGTGTTTTTGTCACCGGGGCTTGTATGGAGCATTCTGAATCTGTCAATATAATAAAATGTCATCTGCATTCAGAAAGATTGTGTGTGCTTTTTCCTCAAGCAATATTTTCCTTATATTAGTGTGCAATTTTATTGATATTTTCACACGTCCCATTACAGTAACAAATAACATAGGAGAGACCAGCTTTACACAGTAAACTCCACTTGTCTGGTATGATGTAGGACACCGAGCACTCGTTAGTGTAGTGGCCATGGGATTGTAATACAAAATTTTAAGGATGCTTAATACTTTCTCCCCACAGTTTATAATATTAATGGTAGTGTTCCTTCGGTCCTCAGGTTTCGGCTGACTTCCATGTGCACTGTGCTCCTTCTGACAGTGCTGCCATCAGAGTAACTTCTGCCTCCATTCCCAGTATCCAGTGTGACAAAGCACTGTGTAATGTTTGTTATGACTCTTGAGTCCAGATTAATCAACCATCACTGTAAACAAAACTTGTGTCTCAGGTTGCAAGTCCTTATTTAGACCAGAAGGTCTGACTGATGTGAGATGCCAGCCCACTCCCACAAATAAGGCTATCTGCAGGGACACACACTTATGCTTCCCAGCACCAGGTCACGAGAATTTAAACAAAGCTTGTGTAACCTGTTCTTGGAAAATTCTTGTGTCTGTGCATTTGCACGGGTGCAGACTTCATTCTGCAACTCTTCCTTCCCAGTTGATTCTCATTTAATGTTTCATTCTCCCAGCGGTTTGCCATAATTTTGATTTAATGCCTTCCATTAATTCTCCAGAAATGCTGCTCCGATGCAGGGGGCAGGTAGAAGGCAATGCCAGCTCTAAGGTCTCTTCTTGCTTGTGGACATTCCTCTCACCAAAGGAGTACCAAAAGAACTAAAATGAAACTGTTGTAGAGTTGAATGTGTCTCAAAGGAGTTGTGGCTATCTCATCTACAGCAGGCAAAGTTTATCGGTCTGCAGTGGAGGCAAGGCTACAGAGCCAATCTCTTTCTTCTGGAAATTGCCTGGCTCATCGTCCTAGAGCAGAGTGCTTTGAACCAGTTCTGTAAGATTTCCAACAGCTGTTTTGGGAAATCGGAACTGCAACTGAATAAAATCGGGGGAAAACAGGAACAGCGTGGGTTGCTGCATGGTGCAGCCTTCCTGAGACAGAAGTTGGGCTGCACTGTGTTGTCCTGGAGCTGGATAAGCCACTTTCTTTTCTGCACATAGAAAGCCTTAATACCATGAAATGGTTGATAATTAGACCCATCTGTGTTTCACTTACCTTCTTTTTCTTCATGTACCTTTTCCAAACATTGAAGTACTTGTTATGTGTATATATATATATATATAAAAAAAATACAACGGGGCTTAGACTGAACAGTAGGAATGAGATACACCCATACAACAGGAAAGTCTGTTCTGTGGTCCTGCCAGTGCCTGCCGGGGCTGGCTTGGTCTTGACTGCTGCAAAGCAATAACAGATGGTAGAACTGCACCCACCATAAGACTAAGAAGAATGAGTTTGACTTTGAACAACATTTGACATCCTCAAGCAACCATAAATTCAATTTCTTTTACAATGGCTTGACTGCAAAATGGAACTGATGAACGTTTTTGAAAACCAGCAGCATGGCTCCCTTTTACTGTAAAACTGTATAGAGGTTTTTGCAATTGCATTCCCAAATTCTTTCCTCCTAAAGCATTAGCTGGTTTACTACTTGTATTTGTAGATCAGTTTGAGTAAAGAGTGTATATATATATATATATATATAGTCTTTCTTGGAAGTGAATTCAAAGAGTGTGGTGTCAAACTAAGAGCACAGTGGTACAAATAAGCATAGCAAAGCTGGAGCAGTCTTTGCTTGGAGGTATTTTATCTTTTAAGTCAATTGTCAAGGTCATTTACACTAGTAGATCCAGTCAGAAGATATTACATCCTAAATGCATCAGTGCCAGAAGGATATCCCTGTCACCTTCCCTCACATCTCAGAATGAAACATCTCTTTTAAACTTTCCTAACTTCTACTTCAGGCCTGGAAAGCTATTTGTAGCTGTAAGTGCTATTAATGAGATTACTCTCAAGTAGATATCACAAGCTCGGGTGCTGCACTACAGACAAATACTTCTTTGCATGGGTTATTTACAAATGACCAAATTATTAAAAATGAGAAAATCTTAACGCGTCCTTCCCCCAAACGTTTTCTCATCAGCGTTTGCACTTTTCATTCACTTCTAACATCTTCTTCGGTTTAGAGAATGAACAGTTCTCTGCTGAAAATGTCACCAAATTTTTTAAACAGAAGAGCAAAGAAAGCCTGAATTATTTAAATCCAAAACGGGTGCATATGACATTGTTTAAACAAATCAAACCACAGGTTGCAAAGGGAAATCATGAAGTAATCTTCATAGTGCAGGACTGCTACCAGCTCCAGGTATAAGATAGCATTAAACTGTAACTATTTCTCTGCTGTAATTATAACAGAAACACATTTGCTGTTATACATCATATTTTTCAGTGTCCATGGGTAGCAAAGGAGTTTTCCAAAACCAGTACTGCATTCAGCTTCAAGTTAAGCAGAATTATGGTTATTTGAATATTTTTCCTCCCACATCAGGAATGATTATTTTGTTTTGCATGCTCATAGTAATATTTAACTGAGCATTGGCCCAACAAACATATCAGCTTCAGATTAAAGGCATGTACACAGTCTGCAGTGGGCAAATAGTTAATTTGACATCAGTGCTGCTGATGCTGACGGCCAATACATAGGTATGCACTACGGTTTTCGTTCTCAGAGCTCCTTTGACGAAAATACAGGCAAAACAGATTAAGCAGAGACATCTGAACTAAGATGAGGGAATTCTGAGAACTGGGGACAGATGGACTATAATACATTGAGCTTTGCCAGATGATCTGACAGCTCCTTTATCAACAAGAGGTTATTTCACTCTTTGCCCACTGTGAGGCTGGCACAGTCTCAGCTTTATTCTGCTCATGCAGTGACTGAGTCTGATGAGGAAAGGAGCCACCAGAGAGGTGGTGAGGTGCCGTCCAGTCTCCTGGAGCCATGAGGCACGGCTAAGGTGTGCTCTCAGGTGGTCCCAGGCATGAGCCTGTGAAACTTGGGGCAAGGTAGCAGCAGGAA